GTACACATGCACCCATTTCATACTTGAAGGCAGGATTATGCTAACATATGAAAATATTGTATGTCACATGTGTGCATCTGTTATAGGAGGAGCTAATGGCAAAAATACCCAAAGTTATATAATACAGAATACACCATTGGCAGAAAATAACTAAGAGGCTTATAGCACTGACAAATAACCCAACTGTTCCCCAATGGGATACAGTCAGGTTGAAGGATGCAGGCAGGTATTATTGCCCAAAGTTGCCGCCAATTCTGCCAGGTGAGTGCAACCTGGCTGCCTCTCAAGTCCCAGGCACACTTTGGAGGCCGCTTTTCAAAGACGGCAAGCTCCCAGCTTTGAAAAGCAGCCTCTGAAGCACACCTGGGACCCAAGATGCAGCCGGGTTGCACTCACCCAGCAGAATTGATGGTGATTTTGCTGTGATAATACCCGCCTGCATCCTGCAACCTGACTGTATCCTATTGAGGAGCAGTCAAGTTATTTGTCAGTGTGATAAGCCCTAAAGACAAGTGTATTAGAAATCTGGGCAAAATTGTCCAGAACCCAATATGTCCTGAACCAAATGCACCATATGTGTCCTGCAGTACATTTTGACTAAGACAGTAAATATACATATAGTATATATATTTTTATATCTTTTTCTATCATCAGAATAATACAGTGTAAAAGGTCCATTTGAAGGGTGTTTCCCTACCACTCCATAAAATCTGTGAGGAGCACAGCTCAGTTCAGAAGAAAGTGTCTCCCACAGTATGGGAGTGATACAGGGGGGAGGAATCCTTTTTTGTAGACCCATCGGGGGGGTCCTCTATAGGTGATCATATTCTCAAAAGGGCACATCTAAACACCAGTGGTGACTGGTGGGTCTGATATCAGTGTGAAAGTGAGTCTGCTATGGATTTTAGCTTGAATGCTAAAGGCATTATGAAGATGCTGAACCTATTCCCATAACAAAAGCCATTAGCTGCCACTGTTTGAAATTTGTGACAAGTGGATAGGTTCATTTCATAATGAGACAGGTACTCCATTAGATACCCAGGCCTCACATCAGTAAGGGCTTTCAAGTCTGCATTGGGCTCAGAAAGCAAGTTGCAACCTATGTGTGCCTTTCAGTAGCAGAGTAATATGATTTTCCTAGCAGGTACCAGTTGGCAGGTTAGGTGCTTCATTTTGCATTAAGTGAAATTCTAGATGTTCTTCGAGGGCAGACCCAAGCACGGATCACTGCAGTAGTTCATATGTGATATAACTAAGGTATAGATAACTGTTATCTAGTCAGATCAATCCAGGAGCTCGCAAAGTAAATTCAAGCGCATTCTCCACCACCATTGTTACCTTGGAATCCAGGACAGCACAGATCTAAAGAATACAATGAACCTGATCTTTCAGTACTATTCAAGATAAATATATCTTGCAAGATAGTGGTAGATGACCAAACTGGAAGTATTTATCCTTTCAATATGGTAAAACAGAGGCTGCCCCGGGAAACGCCCCAGAGGCTGCTGGTTGCATCAGCCCCAATCCTCCCTTTTGCCGGCCCAAAAAAGAGTGGCAAAATGCCAGTCATTTCAGAGCTGATAAAAGGGTGCCCTAAGAGCCACCACATGGCTCTTTGGCACCCCGTCCAGTGCAGCGCATCAAAAGTCTGCGCCAGAAGGATGCCCTGATGCTGTGCACCATGCGTATTGGTGCATGGCGTCAGGACATCTTTGGGGAGGGGTTGAGGCAGCTGGTGGGCAGCTGTCCTTCCCCATCCCTGCCTCCAGGATGGCCCAAAGGGCCCATCTGTAGAGGCCCTGAGATCAGTTTTCTCCCCTACACCCCAGGTGGCCACACCTATTTTGATTTAGAATTATTTTTGTTGCTTCCTAGTTTGATTTAGCTTTATTTTTGTCATTTTCTGTTTCAATGTTGTTTGAATGTTGAACAATGTTGACTCTTTTTTTTTTCCTTCAAAGGAGAGTTTGGGAATTAAATAAAGTCAAACTGCCACATTTTGGCACGTTTGTTCAGCAAATTGGGGGCAATTCCCCGCTCCATAAAAGAGGGATTTAGGAGTCAGTCTGGCATAGTGGTTGGAGAGTCAGACTGTGACGCTGGAGATCAGGGTTCAATTCCTTGCTCAGTCATGAAACCCACGGGGTGACCTTGGGCAAATCACATCTTCTCAGCCTCAGGGGAAGGTAATGGCAAACCTCCTCTGAACAAATCTTGCCAAGAAAACCCCATAAAAGGTTCACCACCTTAGGGTTGTCATAAGTCAGAAGTGACTTGAAGGTACACAACAACAACAACAACAACAACAACAACAACAACAGGGTTATCTGGAGACTTTGGGGATGTCTTGGCAGTTTAGTCTGCTGCAAAAAGAGACTGGGGGTGGCACATGGACCACAGACCACATTTTCGCCACTCATGTGATAAATGAAATACCTTCCAGTGGCAAGCCACATCTCCTAATATTCACTAAAAGGCCAACTTATACTAATATGAAAGGTACAGGATATGTAGCAGCTGCCAGATATTCATTATGTTCTGTGGTGTGCTATTTGCCCACAAGATTTGCCTGTATTTCTCTCATCGGGTTTGTGCAATAATTTCAAAAGTAACACAGCCTTTCTCAGAATGTCTTGTCTAGTTCCCCTGGAGCCAATATATTACTACTTGGTATAAAAATTGCTAAGGCCTGCTGGTTTGGTCTGCAATCTACCCATTGCTGCAAGATTTTGATTTATTGTCTAAGAGGTTGCTAGGTCAGCATTTAAAAAAAAAAAAAAGTGAATGAAGACTCCATGTTTATAAAGAAACCATCCAGAACAGGAAGGTCACCATAGCTCTCCTCTCTGAATTGAAAATTAGGGATGACAGCATGAGATCAGGAAGCAGCCTCTGAATAAGAATCTCTTGAGACTGTGAGGTCATTTGCTATCATAGGCAATACTGGAGATTATCTAGTAAAAGAATAGGGATCTTGAAAGCTTGGGAGATTTTTATTTTATTTTATTTTATTTTATTACTAGAACTTGCAGAATGACAGCTGAATGATTCTTTTTTCAAGCTATTCCAGTGGAAACTA